TTGATTAATTATGCATCCTCTGTAGCAATTTTCAGTTTTCTAGCATTCAGCAGTTTTAAAGTTTGTCATGTGCACAGATTTAAACTCGCATCCTGAGAAACCCTTGACAATCATTGTAAGGTGTGTACAGTATACGCTATTATTATATGGCTAGCTCCGTGAGCGGGGAAGATGAATCAAATCCTGTGCTGTGATTGACTACCCGAGCGGGCAAGATGGAGCTATCTTGCCCGCTCGGGACTACCCGCCGCGTCCCGCAAGAAAAATTTCCCCCAAAGCCATATAATAAATCCTTTATTGACCAAGCTTGTTCGGTCAAGATGGTCGTTCTTTTCGAGTTTATGGACCTCGACGGCATAAACACGCAAAAAAAGAACTTGGCCAATATCCAGCCATCTTGACCGAACAAGCTTGGTCAATAACCCATATTTATAACCCACCCATTAATTTTGGCGCGATTTTATTGGTTGCTTTACGTCACGTGGTGAAAACTGACAGGACAGTTATCACGCAATAACCCCCGCCTGCGTCAACATTTGTCCTCCGATTGTTTCCGTCGAAGAGAAACACAATCAGCACAAGAATTTCAAATTTTCCTTTCCCTTATTTAACATGGAAGGAAACCAAAGTCGTTTTGTTGAGTCTAGCGATAGTGATATTAAATAGCTCGTCGCAAATGCTGTTCCGGAAACATCAAGTTTTTGAGTTTTTGATCTAAGGGACGTTACGAGAGTTAATTTTACATTATTGTCATTAATTTCACTCGACAGCTTGTCAAGTTTTGGTCCAATCACAGTGGAAATAAAGTTAGTTAAACCAATCAATTGTACTTGCTTGCATTCTCCATCAGATCACCACTGGCTTTTTTACCAGTGCCAAAATCCTGTTTAGTAGGCATGGCTTGATTTTTTTTCACCCCTAAGAAGTACCAACTCTAAAACAACGCATTAACTGACACTTTCATAATTTTTAATAGCGATAAAGACTCAGTTGATAGTCAAATATCTCCTGTCACATGTTTTTGCTCAATAGCCTAAAAGGTACCGCGAAAGCTCCCGGCGGTGAAGGCTGAACTCCCTAAGAGGCACCAAATCGCTTTTTTAACTCCCGTCCTTTTCATATAGGAGTTCCCCCCGCCCGGGGATAGTGCAACGTACATGTATTACCGTTAATATCACGGGGCCTTCGATATAACGGATGACCCGGGCGTGTTCGTTAATTCAAGGTTCCTTTGTGGGTGTTCTTAGTGACAAGTTGTGATAGGTGCCAGTTACTAGCGATATTTATTTCAACTCAAGAAAGGTTTTACGAAACGTAACATTTTCCATAAGATGCCGATTATCGCAGTTCGCGATAGCGGTACTCCCTTGTAAAATTTTCCCTCCGCCCCGATCAGGCAGGATCTGGCCACACTCTGCTATGGTCCCTTTCCGGTTCCGAGCATATCTGGATCCAGCAATGACTGTTGGTTTTATCCAGAGCCATTTTAGACCTGTAGACTGCGAGCAGCCTGTTTCTTTTCCTAGAGTTCCATCCATGAAGAATGCCCATCAATAGCTTTTGTAATTTCTTTCGGGATAGGAGGCAAAATTTCTGAGCAAGATTCCTGATCCTTGACTTCGTGACCCTGAAACCAAGAATGGAATTTTAACCAATCAAAATCAAGAATCTATTAGAAGCGTAACCAATCAAAATTCGAGTCACTCGCCATTGTTTGATGAATGCTCACTGACGCATGAAAGAAACTTTGGTTGGCGCCATTTTGTGCATTTGTAGTTGATGTAGATTATATTTCAGCTGAGTTTTTTTTGCGATTTCTCCGTCATGGCTGCAGAAGGTGGCTATCTTACCGAACTTCTAACTGAAAAGGACAACTTAGACCCGTCTTTTGTTCATTCAATGCGCTTATTAACCGAAGGTAAGTGACGAATGTGCTCTGAAATCATCGCTCCACAGCGTCACGGAAGGTTGAATCATGGAGGACAGCAATATTTGCATTCCTTCGCGGTCAATAACCACCAGTTGCTCGTAAAACTTTAATATGTTCGACCTCAGGCCAAAAGTGATGCTCGCAAATCCATGATTTGTTAAGGAAGATATCATTCCATCCATTTGAAATATCTTTTAAATTACAACGTTTCTCGGTGCAAGAAAGTTCTTCGTTTCGAATCGCCTTGCCCGCCGGGCCAAGGAAAAATATTTTCGCGATTGACACGAATTTTAGTCGCTATTTGATCAGTTCTTTGTGTTCTTTGACATCAGTTTTTGTTTAATCATTCAGTATGCTTGTTGATGCCTTCATGCTCGCCATTAAACATCTTTGATTTAAGAACAGGCGCATTGCATGTGTGAGCGAGCTTCGATCAGCTTTAATAAAATGGATAGCATACTTTCTCATGGATTTAACTCCAGGCTCTTCTGGAAAATTCAGAAAATGAAGGTATACAATTGTGGCGACCTTGTGCAATGCCCCTGAAGCATTAACCAGGCGAAGAAGAGAACTATACTTGGAGCTGAAAAAGTTTTTGTGGCCAAAAGTTTGCCGTGGTATTCAGATAATGGGTATACAGTATTTCACAGAAGTGGATTTTGACATTCTTTGCAGGTTTTGTGCTGAATATGCCTAGTTTGTCTGAGTGCTAATGCGTTTTATTCTGTTTCAAGACATGGGTTGTTATATACTCATCTGGAAGGCTATGAACTGGAAATGATCACCGTCTCTTATTTTCAGTAAATAAAGTAATGTTCCAAAAATTATTTTGGTTGCAAGTTGGTCCTTGAAACGATGCTAGCCAATTGCATGTTACGTCCTAACATTTTGTGCCAAGAATTCCTGAGTACAGGTACTGTCGGAGACAGCTTACATGTACATGTAGCTGGTCGACTTACCACATGTACATGTATGAGTAAAATATCTTGCCTATTAGCCACTTAACATGATACAAGGGTCCTAGCATCACTTGAACAATGACTATTGTGCATTTAATTTTCAGAAGTATGTTTACAAGGTAAATATTAAGAAATGTTGGAAGTCATCTTGATTGCAAAAAGAAGCAGTATAACATACCTTCTGCTTATGCCTAAAAAAATATTTTAATCAGGAGTTTCAATTGCAATCAATGCAAATAATGGATAAAAATCAATTAAGGTTTCTATATCTGTCATGGAAAGGTGTTATCACTGCATCTATTTAATTTAGGTGACAGTTTGGCATAAACTGTGATTTGAAAAACGTCAAATAAAAACAACAGAGAGAGAAAAAAACAGGATATACATGTAAGTGGATTTTAAGTTGGCTCTTATTTTGGGCCCTGATTTCTTCAGATAACTTGTGTAGGGCTGCATAAATAATGCAAAACTTAATAATTATTAAGTTCTGTCGCTATTGTGCAATGAGCAGTTAATTGATTTTGTATGAATTTTTCAGAAATCAACCGAATGCAAAATGGTGGTGCCCTTCCAGTTGGACAAGTAAAATTAAAAGTAGAAAAGACAACTAATGGCAATACTATACCACCTGCATCAGAAAGTCCTGTCGTGTCTAAGCCATTACCTGCTGCTGCCCAGTTACCTGTAGCTCCCGTTGCAAGCCCTGAGACTCCTCCACCTGCCAGGCTACCAACCCATCAATTTCGTAGACCTGTTGATGTTTTTGATAGCAAACTTTATCAGCCCACGAAATTGAGCGAAAAAGTCTTCATCCCAGTTAAAGACTACCCTAAGGTTGGTATAAAGTTTGTGATAGAAATGGATTTGGACATCAGTTTACTTTCAAGTAATGTCATTGTTTGACATTTGTTCAGTTAAAAGGCCAGTTATACCTTTCACCAAACCTTTGCTGAAAATGAATTTTACAAATTGACCACTTCCATGAAGTTTTATGAAGCTAATATTAATTATTTGGTTTTGTGCAGTTTAATTTCGTTGGAAAACTACTTGGTCCTAGAGGAAACACCTTCAAGAGACTTCAGGCAAATACTGGGACAAAAATGTCCATCCTTGGTAAAGGTTCGATGCGAGAGAAGGAGAAGGTTAGTTAATGGCAGTTTTTGTCCACCTGATTGCTCTCCAGAATTTTGTGGCAACTCAGTACATGCTAAAATCAGACCTGAGTGAATAAACCAATCAAATGGGAGCATTGGTGGTCCATTGGGATTTGTGACTGACGGTCTGAACACCTCAGCCCGGCTATACAGGCTCCCCCCGTGTTTGACAGGGAAAGATATCGCTTTATTTGTGTAAGAATCGCATGAATGCTTAAGTTACAGAGCAGGACTATCCATAACCGTAAAACTAGTTATGGTGGAAAATTATCAGCATTTGTTTTATTTGATGTGAGACACATGACAAAGTTTTGCCAGGAGACATTGATTTGAGAAGAGATCAGTTGTAAACGAGTGAGCAATTTGAGTTGAAACTTAGACCAACATGCAATATTGTAAGTTTGTTACAAGCTGGCTACCAGCTACACTGTAGTAAATTTCATTTTGGAAATTTACTACCCCACATCTACATGTAATAAATTATTACATTCTAAAGAATTGATTTACCGAACAAAAGAAGTTAATTTTGTCTCATCTCCCATACAGGTATTTTTTGTCCAGTCCCAAATTACTTCGTCCTGAACATTATCTGGCTTTATTTTTATATTTCTAGCACTGGGCCACTAATTTTAATGTTTTGTTCTGTATATAAATTATGTTTTTTCATTTTTCAATTCCCAGCAGGATGTATAAATTGTGTGACATGCAATGCACTTGTTTCAGTAACCTTTGAAAGTAAGTTGAAAGATGGTTGTCTTAATTCTAGGAGGAAGAGTTGCGAAGCTCTGGTGATCCAAAGTATGCACACCTTGAGCAAGATCTCCATGTTCTCATTGAAGTGGAAGCTCCCCCAGGCCAGGCTCATGCCAGATTAGGTCTTGCCATTGAAGAGATAAAGAAATTTCTTGTACCTGTAAGTAAGCTTTGTGTTGTCATTGGTTTATTTTCACTTGACAAGTACCTGTAGAATACGAGACCTTTCTCCATCAACTAATGCAAGAGTATACCATTCCATTCAGGCTTTCAGCCAGGATTTAAGAGTGGGCATCCAAAATGTGCTATTGGATCTGCTCAAATGAACACTTTATAAGACAACATGTGAAAAATAAAGCAATTTTCTGAAAGAAGTAGGCATCCACAGGACACCTGGACATCCATCTGGCTGAAAACCCATTTCCATTCTTGGCAAAATTGTCCAGCCATTAACCTAACCAAGCAGTGATTTTTAAAAGGCACTGCTAGAGTTATTTCTTGTAGTATTTTTGGATGTCTCCTGTTGACTAAAGCAGTACTAAACTAAATATGAAGACGAAGTTTGCAGTAATTAAGGTTATAACGTTAATGGTCATGGTCATGAGACATTAACTAAATTTGATTACTCTGTAGGAAAACAATGATGAAATCCATCAGGAACAAATGAGAGAAATGGCAATTCTTAATGGCATGGAGGAGCCAGCACCCACGGCAGCACCAGTAGCAGTGCCTGCACCTGTTCCCAGAGGACGCCCACATACCAGAGGGGTACCACACCATCCCCACCATCCTGCACATCATGGTCGGGGTGCACCAGTTCCACGGGTGGCTGCTATTCCAAGACCAAGAGGACCCCCTGTTGGTCATGTCAGTGTAACAGCAGCACGATCTGCTGCAGGACTCGGACCCTCTTCCCCGACAGTTGCTCATGCAGCACCCAGAGCAGCTGCAGTCCCAGGAGATCCATATGGAGTAAGTTATCCTGTACCTTTGTTTTAAAAGGGCCACTCAAATCAAATTGAGTCACATTTATGTTACAGTACTGCTCAAAAGTAAGTTACCACCTCTCGTCTCATTTCTCGCGAGACNTTGGAGCTGATTGCAAGATGAGTCTTTTTAGACGTTCACATATGAAAGGCTTCAATGCTTTTCATTTATTTGGTATTAGTTACATTGCATCGTGTTTGGCGTGCCATTCTATTTAATTGAACTGTAATAAAAATAACTCAACTGTAATTTTTTATTTTTCAAAATATGCAAGTTAAAAAAAAGGTTCAATATCAAGATCGTAACGAAAAAGATCTGCAGATGAACCAGGTCCATCTAAATATAACTACAAAGTCAGCGCTCTCATTTCTATTTCTGCTTCGATTTTTGAGTTTTCGTTTGTCTTAAAATAATTCCAAACACTCGTTTTGGTGAAGAGTTTTTTTTTGTTAAACACTTTTCAAGCCATCACTTGAATACATTTGGAGCACTTTTTATAAGTAACATTTCACGACGAAGTCTGCCTTCGTATTCAACACGTACATGTAAAGAGGGCCAGGCCAATTGAGGTCAATTCAGCAGAACTGTATTGATTTAAAGCTGATTGTTTTATCGTCGCTTTGAAAACTGGAACAGCATATGATATTTGTTTTCCTTTGTGACTTTTCAGCAATGTCAATGAACAGCATAGTCTGTTGCCTTTGCTTCATCGTGGAAAATGTGCACATGCTGATAATCTAATACATGTACGCAGTGCCCACTAAAATTGCTCTTGCTTTGAAGTTCGAAAGGTACATATAATAGCTGCCTCAGATAGAGAAGATCATGATTACGTTGGTGAAGTAAAACTTATATTAATTATTATTAAACTTTGTGACAAAAAGTACTCAGCGCAGATGCATGAAGTGGCCGGTGACTTGTGTCAGTCGCTGGCTAATTTTGAAAACCCTGTGAACTGTATAGTTGTAATAATAATCTTATCACAATTGTTTATATTAATAACTCAATTACTCTAAATCACTATAAGATATGCTATTGAAAGTGGTGTTAGACTAAACTCTCTGATGTTATACAAGCAGTTGAAAGTATTTTGTTATTTACTGGTCCCTGAGACTTAAGCATCTTTGCTTTATATAACCAAAGGTAATGACATTTCTAATTGATAACATCATTTGCCATTAAATATTTAAGATTGTTTACTTCCAAAAGTGTCATTACTGTACTGTGAAATAAGAACAGAGTTTTTTATTGATGTGGACTACTGCATATCTTCTGTATTATTGCAATGATTGAGGAATGAGCAAAGATTTGGTTGACCTTTAAATTATAAATCATGTGTGATGTGTTCTTAAAACAAAATTGCCACTCTTTCATCATGTTGAAAAAAAAAATTCAAACATGAATTCTTAGTTGATATAAACATCTTGTGTCCTTTGGGCCAACAGATGAGCTTTACAAAGTATGACAATTTTGTGCAAAAAGTAAATTTTAAATATGCTGCCTGAAGTTTGGACTTATCACTCACATGTAATTGTATCTTTAAAGGTAACAAGAATTTTAAGTAATACCATATGACTGTATAATGTGCATATGATACGCATGTTTTCTTTGGGTGACAATCTGTTATGGCCATACATATGTAAGAGGTTTATTTGCACATGCTGGTTCCTTTTCAGTTGGATATTATCTTGAAACTCTAATCTTTCTATAATTTTCATAATTGCATTTTTCTATCTTGTTGTAGAACACTTTCATGAGAGCTCATTTTTGCCAAGTTGCAGACCGTTTAATGGGTTGTAGAGAATTTGTTTAAACTGGTTAACTTGATTTCTGTACTGTTGTGGTACCAGTATCTCCTTTTTTTTCACCTTTGCAGCTATGCATTATTTGGGTGATTGTGAGGTGCTTCTCCCAAAAGCATTAGATCTTTCAGTGGGTTCACTATTTGGTTTGAGTCTCATATTCTTGAGATATAACAAATTTAATGGCTGTTGTGAAAATGTTTTACAACAAAGGTATTGCTTAAAATGTTTTCCTTGAGAAGTAGCTTTTATAAAACTGTAGTCAGAAAAGACTAACTTCAGTCTATGTAATTTAATATTTAAATGTAAGTCAAATGTTAATTTTATTCCAGCTTGTCTCTGATCACTACAATAAGTGGTTAATGTTAAACTCACATTAACTTCTTATTTTAGCTCCAACCAGAGTTCCAGTGAGTACATCTGCAACTTTCAAGGCACCTCCAGGTCGCACTGTCAAGAAAATTGTTCGCGAAGCAACATACCCTTATTGAAGTAGTTAACAATTTTTCTAGGGTTTCTCGTTTCAAACTGAAATCTTGTTGATAGAATTTTGATGAATTTCTTACAAATTATTATGGAAATTTGACCATGTTCAATGTTACAAGGGAAGCAGTGTGCAGTATTTACCATTCTTTTGGTGTAGAAATGACAGCTATTTTCATAGGTGTGTTTTTAGTCATTACTTCTGCTAAACATTGAAATATTAATGGGATTTCTATACCTTACATAATGGAAAAATATTTTTTTGTGCATGGAGCCTTCAGTAAACTTGGATAAAGAAAGAAGATCAACATAATTAATTCTTAATTGATCGGTAAAATGCCATTCATTTAAACATTAAAGTAATATTTTGGCTAAACAGTTACAACATAAAAAGAACATTTTCAGTGTTAGAAGCCCTTATAATAACTATTTCAGGCCAGTTTATTGTTGACATTTAATCCTAATGTACCCTTATGCATTTTATACTGTTTGAAAGTTGTCAAGGTAGGCTTAGTAAGATAAAGTTACCAGTATTTCGAAGCCCTTTCTTCTGTGATTCCAGGGATTTGTGTTCATTTATAACTTTTTAAAGTATGTTAAACTGCATGTCAGTGCATGTCGTTATATCTGATTCAAAAAATCTTTAACTCCCATGTTTTTATAAACAAGGGCATTGTCAGCCACTAAATGGTTAAATTTATTAACTTACTTAAAACTTATGTTTTGTTTAAAAAACCTTGTATGTCAAAATTAAATAACATCTTGAGCTACTTGTTATTAATTTTTTGAACTCAATAAAAGTGATAAACATTGCTAAACTGTTTGGTCTTGCCATTATGGTTGTTAATAAAAATGTGAAACTTAAATCTATAACTTTTTGCTGGAGTTTCTTAACTATAAACAAAAATATTATAGAATGAACTTCAAATTAAATATTATTTTTGCAGTGTTATTTTTAACATCATTGTGATCCCCCCTCCCCTAAAAAAAACCCTGTAAACTTTGAATGTGACATAAATCACTGAAATATCTTTTATAAAACAGCTGTTTAAATATCTAACATTTAAAAGGCTTCCAAGTGATATAAAATGTTTTTGAGTAACATATCTTTGTCTAAAAGGATTGGACCAGTATTTTTCACATAAATACACGCCAGAGTTTTGCATTTATTTTTATAAACACAATATCTGTTTTGTAATTGTGTACTGTTGTCAAATTACAAATCTTTTGGAATATAATTTTTTTTACCTATTTAAATGTCTCAATGAACGATTTAGACTGGCTTTTGTAGCTATTAGTTGATGTCCAAAATAACCTGAACATCTGATGAGCCATAACTATTGACATATTGTTTAACCTTGAGTTAATTATGTGGCACTATAAGCTGGAGAAGGCTTCCAATCAAAATCAATATTTTCTAGTAAAGAATTTGGCTTAAAAGAGTGGACTGCTCTCATGAGATATATACATGTGAGTCCCAAAGATAGTTTTCCATGTATTTTTTATAAACATGATTATTTTTTGTAACTGCTTAAAATACATCCTGTTTATTAACGTAGAGAATACTGCTCAGTTTTTTAGAGTAAACGTTTCTCTTCCTTTTTATATCAATTTATAATTATCAATAAAGGCTTGGCTTTTTGTAACTGAGTGACCTCTCTAATGCCTTGTTCAGAATGATGTATAATGTATGTGCTCTTTGAATGTGAAGTGAAAGCAAGTACAGAACAAAGGCTTCCATTTGTTATTGAGTCTGGGATCAAGTTAAATGAACAATTTATGCAAGTTGTTTAACTGCATTCTATTGTGGCGGTTACTTGATGTTTGTGTTTTGGTCAAGATAAACCTTTTACTGACATACTACCCCCCAAAGACTTGAGAACTTGGAGTAACCCCAAATGAGATAGTATAAAATGACTAGTTTAATCACCTCAGGTCCGAATAAGTGCTTAAAACTTCTGCAACAAGATAACTTTTTTCTCTCCTTTCTGATATGTCAAAAAAATAAATGCCTTTAAAGTGAAATACTTGAAATTCAATTTGACCTCCCAACTCGATTTTGCTAAAGGCAGTGAGCAAAACTTCATGGCATACTGTGTGGCTAAAAGTTATCAAACAATGGGTCGCATAATATTAAACTCGTCATGGTAATTATGTGGATGTTAACTACCAGACAGCAGAAAACACCATAAAACATTAGAAACAACTTAAAGAAACGTCGCGGTAACACATGAAGAAACCAAGCTAAATATGGATACTTCTTAAAGCTTTTGAGAACAAATTGAGGCTTGAAGAAGACTTCATTCCTGCAGAGTAATGATCTGAAAGGTAAATTTATTGTATTATTGGTAATTATAACCCAAGGATAAAATAAAGCAGGTTAATTTTAAAGGATGGACAGAAGATTATTTTACAACATAAACTGGATTGCACAAAAGAGTGCAGCCTTAGTGGGTCAAGTATGTTTTCCTCTTTGTATCTTTCATTACTTGTCAAATTCATGTAAACACTAATTGCATTAGTTTATAATCATAAACGCTGCGAGTGTAAATATTTGCTATTTGTTACTTAGCCCTTTCTAAAATTGGTTTTTCTCAACTGAACAAAATATTTTTCTTTACCTTCCTGTGGTAAGAGCATATTTATCAAATTGAAGCGTGAAGTTTTCAACCATGGGAACTTAATGAAACCTGGATTAGTGTGAGCTGTTGAAAATAGACCATCGACAGATCAAAAATTGCTAATTTCTTAGCTTGGTGTGCCTAAAACCAATGTGGAATAACATGGCATCATCTGCTAAATGAATTAAG